TCTTCCGATGTTCACTCCGTGATTTGCAGTTCATAAGATTACTACAAATTCAGCTATGAATAATATTATCCATATGTATATTTGAAGTACTGTAATACTAACTAGGTCAATGACTGATTATGAGCCTTCACATCTGACAGACCTCAGCAGCAGGCACAGCTATTTTGATTCTATACACTGTATAAAACTTAAGTCCAGTAATCACTAACAGTAAATCAAACATGACTGCAAAATGACGCTTACTTTCATCTTACTCCAACAAGATAACTCAGCTATCCAAACTTATGTACATAATGTATTATATGAGTTTTACCATTTGATAATTGCCTTTTTCAAAGAAAACCTCTCCACACTGTAGACTGGCAGTCCCTTTCATATCTTGCCTTTAAAGATAGACAGTGTTTAGTTATTAGAGTAGTACTCATGTAGGCTTATAATAGCAGATAGCACCAACATTTTATTTGAGATAGTTAAGTGGATTAATTACAACTTCACAGATATGTCCCCAAATCTGTAACACCAAAGGCTTCCCTCTCATTGTTCTTGATGTAGTAGGACAGTGTTTGTGTAAAGGCCACGGGAGTACATTTTGTTGGACATATTTACACCCAGTCAAGATGTTAAGGTGATAAAAATGTCAATTGTTCTTTACAAACTCACACATTGTATAGTATACAGAATAAATTGATCTACTTAGTTTTTATTGCAACATGGAGATTTGTCTCGTCTTTACTGTGGTTTCCTAAAAGATACTGCATACTTCGGTATTCTCTATGGAAAATTTTTAAAATCCAAATCTTGCTACTCTGTATCATTAAAAATATGACTGGGCTTTGGTTTCTAGTATGTTAGACTACAGAATTACTTTAATGTAATCACCTTTATATATATTTCAGTGCTTATTTTTCTAATAAGGTAATTAAAGCTTATTGTTTGAAAACTCCGTAACAGATGATTGTTTTGGTCCCTTGCACTGAGTAAAGGGGATATCTGGGAATTAGCTTGGCATGTAGAAGTTTGCATTGCTATAGACTGGCCTGAATATGGCAACATTTTCAAGAAATCAAGATGCTGGAAAAAGTCCAACTAATTTGTTAATCAGATTGTGACTTAGGTGCTGATCTTTGCACAACTTCAAGATCCATGTGGTGTATTTACACAATTAGCTCAGTCACCAAGGTCATAGTAACACCCTCTATACTCTGCATCTCTAACAAACTGAGGAGAAAAATGTCCACTTTAAGTAGCGTCATTCAAATACCATGCTGAGGTAGTACAAAGGCTGCATTGACACTGGCATTAGTAACCTAAAGTAACTTACCTGAATGTCTGTATGGGGAGTGGCATCAATCTTCAGGCACAGACAAACCATTTAAATACGGACTTACTGCCCAAATCTGTTTCTCATTACAGTTGAGGCAGGTATGGTTGCACAGACATGCGCTCAGAGCAGCTTTGCATTTAGCAGCTGTGGTCGCACAACACGATGACGTTATTCAGGAGGGAGGCAAGATTGCAGTAACTTGTTTATTTGATGGCTGGGGGGGTTCTCTGTGAGCTTGGGAAGAACAGATTGGGAGAGCATGCAAGCAGGATGAATGTTCTTTTTGTCTGTTTTTTTAACTTAAAGTGGAGTTGGGCTGAATGTGTGATTTGATTATTTATTCCCCCTTTAGTACAAGCCAGCCACCCTCTTTCAGATTCACGTCTCTGGCTTTTTCATCCCAGTTTCTGCTATCTGTAGATCCAGAGTAACTTGAAATCTGGAAAGTTCCATGCACATTCAAAGCATTTATTCCCTTTAAATATTTATCTTCAAAATTTTTCTGTAGTAGTAGCACAGAGGCAGACAGCCTCGAGCTGAACTGATGTGCTTGAAAAAGCTTTAGTTTAGGGCCAGATGACTGAATTGTCCTTGTCTTTCTCAGGCTGTACATCTTTGTTACAATGAGGATGCTGCTTGATATAAGTTCATGATAAATTGCATATTTATAGCAGGCACAGAAGTCTGTTTACTTACTGCTTTGGAAAATATTGATAAATCTCCACTGATTTCAGATGGATGTTTAATTGACTTTGGTTTAAAATGGAAAGATGAAGTACTTTTTGTTTCTGACTGTCTAAATTTAATAACAGATTTCAGTTGGGTTTAGTTTTTTTACCTTATTGCAGAACAATGTTGTACCTCTTATTAAAAGAGGAATATGGTTGGATAATCTGTCACCTTCCCTTGACAATATTACAGAATAATCAAATAACTGTCATTGACTTTCCTGGTACAGGGAGTCTCCATAGAGACTGGATTCAACCTCTGCTGGTACTTCTGTCTCTGTTAGTGTGGTGGGGTTGTTTCCTTACTGGGTTTGAGAAAAAAACAACTGTAAGGGTCTCCCTTGAGAAACAGGATTTGGATTTTTTTTTAAATGCGTGGCATTGAATTATATGGCTGAAATTACAAGGATGCTTAAATAAAAGAATAGGAGCTGTAGATTCTTCTGAACTTCAGGTCTGTTCTCAGACTGTTGAAAAAAATTTGGCTGATACATTGAAAAGAAAATATGTATGTGATGTTCTAGAGAGAAATCTTCCTAGTATAGACACAGATTGATGGAGGCAAGCTTTCTGTGTGGGCCTTTCATTATGTAGATTTTGTCTTGTCTTTTCTGTAAGGCCAAAAAACCTGGAAGTAAATCCCAAGTGTTGCTGGGAGAATACGTGCATGGTACATGGCATTATCTCTTACATTACATTTTAGAGTTCTTAACTGGTAAATGTTCAACCACTACTGGCTGAAACCAGCCCTGTTTATTTTATACAGCTAAAAGTTAGAGGCCTAATCCTTGT